GGCCTCGGCGGCCCCGCGCAGCCGCTCCCTCGGCGGGGCCGTGGGGAGCGTGGCGTCGGGGCCCCGCGGCGCGCAGTCCTCCTTCAACATCCCCAACAGCAGCAGCGGCCCGTACGGCTCGCAGGACTCGGTCCACAGCAGCCCCGAGGACGGCGGCGGCGGCAGGGACCGGCCGGCGGGCGGGGGCCCCGGTGGGCCGCGCCTGGTGATCGGCTCCTTACCAGCTCACCTCTCGCCGCACATGTTCGGAGGTACGGCCCCCTCCCTCCCCCCTTCCTCGGTCCCTGCCCTCCGCGGGCGGCACGTGGGCCGCGGCCGCGGCGGCGTCTACCCTTCTCCTTGTCTCCTTCAGCTCGACCGCCAGGGCTTTGCCGCGCGGCCCGGTGCGGCCGCCCCTCCGGGGAGGAAAATCGCCGCTCCCGCATAGAACCCCGTGTTTGATTTTTTCCAAAAACACGGTGTGCACCCTCACCCCATAGCGGTTCCCCAGTGGAGAAAGCCCTTATTTCCCCCGTGAAGGGAATGGAGTAGATATTGTTTTAAAACAAACAGACGCAACAGCCCTCGTGCTTGTGGCTTTTAGTATCAGGAAGTCAGGAGAAGACCCGTTGCTGAATGGCGTTCTATCTGGGGACTCGAGTGGTGAGCGGTTTTTAAAGGCCAAAAGTCACAGGGTCCCGAGCGAACGCAGGTATTTGAAAAAAGAGGTAGTTAACTGCTTTGGACTGACTGTTAATATAAAACTGTAATTCGTAAGTTTGTGTGAATAGTCCCACCTTCTGCCTACAGTTTAATTGGATGAATGTGTTAATGACAAGTGTATTTTTAACCCCCGGTAAACTACTACTTTAGATAATGGTTAATGTGAGTCCTGCTTAATTTGGACAGAGCGTTTAAAAAGTTGAAAACAGTCTGTTAAGGAGAGAAACTAATAATTATCACAACCCTGCCTGCAAGATGCAGTAAAAGCCTGGGTGCTTTTGAAAAGCAGCGTTGGCCAGAGTTTAGGAGAAGTCACTTGTGAAAAATGGAAATTTTTAATAGGAAAATGTTTTTTTATGTAGAAACAGGAGGGAGGGTGCACTTGATCTGAGAAAAATGAACTCGACCTCTTCAGTTATGTTTTATGGTGATCTTCTTTACCCCAAAACAGTTAATAGTAAATTAATCAAGACCGCTCTCCCTTCCCTGTTCATGCAAAGAAAGAGAAGTTAAATCTAGTTAGAGATGTTGACTGTAGAAGATAAACATTCCCATGTCATTGCATTTTGTATCGTGATGTTACATAGATTCACAATGGAGCACGGATGAACAGTGAAAACTCCATCCCCTCCATTTTTGTGCCCCTTCCTCTCATGTTTCTAAATGTGAAAAATTTGAGTAGGGAGTTGGTAAAGTGGAATGTTCAATAATGTAATTTATCTGTCGTGATGTTCTGTACTATCAGCATTCACGTTAGCATAAATTAAAAATGGGAATGTCATGTTTAGTTTTTCCATCTTTTTAGTATTGCTTTGCATGTTCGATATAGAACAACTCTTTAACTACCTTACTTTAATTACTTGTTATAAAGTAATTTTTGCTACATAGATAAAAATATTCATGTTTCTTAAAATTGGGCCATTGGAAAAAAAATCTTTTGTTTTTGGGAAAAAGAACTAGTGCTGTCCTTACTGTGATTTGATCCTAATTAACACAGTTGAAGGTGCTGTAGTCTCCACATGGAGGAATAACCAAAGACTGTTTCTTGAGAATGGGAGATTAGTGCAAGAATAAAGGATAAGCTGGTTTTAAAAAATATTTATCTTTTTAAAATGAAAATTTGCACTTAGCAGTTATGATCATCAAAAGATATTTATATTTCAAAGCTTGCTTAAGGAGGAATAGGAAAAGACTTGTAAAATTAATAGCTCTTATTTCTTTAATATACTGATTACTATTTACTCATTTTTTTTTAAGGGCTGATAATTTCCTTTAACCAACAATGTGTCTGGATGGGTTTATTTTCTTAAAATAAATATGTTCCACTCAGACCAGGGGGCCAATAGTTAACACCCATGCTGTTAATTCATAGTAAATTAGCAAATGAAAAAGTTCTAGTTGCTGAAAGTTGGAGAAGTAAAGCATTTATCCTTTATCTAAGTTCCTAGATTTGTGCACTTAGTTCTTTTAGTACTTTTGGAGTTAGGATGATTGGGGCCTACTAGCAGTGCAGTGACGTTGAGGAACTTGGGCCACCTTTCTTAACCTGGCCTCTGTAGAGAATGGACCCCTAATGTCCTAGGGTATCTATTGTATGCAATTAACTTTTAACAATTAATTAACTTTTTTCTCCTATGCTTTTAGAATGATTGTTGTTATGTATCATTCTTGGGAAATTTGAGAAAACAGTCAGTCAAATAATTTGTGTTTGCTGGTTCAGATGAGGAGCCCCAGTTGAGAAGGACTGGAAGGGAATCAGAGAAATTACCTGTTCCTATTATATGATGGGAACAAGTACTAGTTGAGACAGGGAGATGGAATACCCTTAGGTAAACATTCATCTTTCTAGTGGCATTTGCTTTAAGGAGGTTTTTACCTATATTTCAGTGAATAGTGTCATCAGGGAAACTTAATAGAAGCGTGTTTCTCATAGAAGCATGAGATTTAGGGAGCCAGATGATGAATCTTATTATTTTAAAAATTAGGCTTCATTATACTTCACATTGATGTAATTTTTTAGTATGTATTATGGTATTAATGTGTTTATTCAGTTACAAACTGTATAAATGTTTGGGCATATATAAAATAACTCCATCTGAAAATTGAGAAAGGGAATATTTCTGAATTAGTGGACAGTTCTTAGTGTAATTTTGTAAAACTTATGTTAATTGATGTTTGTACTATTAATATCTCCTAATAAGAAAATATGGTGCTAAGATTCAAAATTATCATTCTCTTGTGGGCTGTTGTGTAATTTATAGAAAAGGAAAACCTAAACAGTACCTTTTTTTTTTTTTTTTTTTAAATTTAGGAGTCTAGCAAGTTGAATTGTTACTAGTTCATCATAATGAATTACCTAATTGGATGAGGTTTTCTCTGTTGGTCTTTATGTTTTGCTGTCTTTGGACATGTATTTTGGCTATATACACTCTTACTTAAGTCTCTAGAGAGAGAACCAGAAGAGAGGTGCTTAATCTAGATATTTCAGTTTCCAGAAGCTTTCTAGAATTTCCTAGAACTGAGTTATTGGCTATCAGAAGATGATTATAATACAGGAGTTTTTAGGTGAAATAGGTTTTTCTTGTTTTTGTTATTCGTTTCCCGACTGCTGAGTTTAATACTATTAAAGTGAACAAAAGCCTTCCCTTGTCTATCACTTTTGTTTTAAAACCAGTCTTTAGAGGTATAGTCTAATATTTAAAAGCTTTAGTGGTATCTTAGCATTTTTTTGGCTGTATTTTATGTCTATATTTTTTCCACTGTCAAGTTGCTAATGTTCATAAAATCAATTATTATGGGTGGTAAAATAGTCTTTAATGATCCAACAGGGATGGGGGAGGTAAATTGGACTATAAAAATATACCAGGGAATGGAGATTATGTCTAGAGAAATCATATGGGCTTCTCTTATAATATATCCTTGAGTCTGGAAGTGAAAATGTAAAGTGAATTAATCTAGACAATTAACCCAACCGGTGGTACCGGCTTGCTTTTGGCCTCCGCCTAACTGGCTTGAGTTTGTTTGGGTGTGTTGTGTTCATGAGTATTTCAGTAGTCTGATTGTAATTCAGGTGCCTCCTGTTACTTAGGAAACATGCTTCCTTATATTGAAGGAGTGTGGGTTATCTCTTAAAACTGAATATGTTAAATAAAATCTGTATTTCTAGGCAGATTTATTTCTCTTAATCTTCAAGACATACGTGGGTTTTTAAGGTGTTAGATTATCTCCATTATCTCCTTTATTCAGTTGTTCTCAGTCATTACTTCTTACCAGTATCTAGTGCCAAAATGTTTGAATTTGGGGTATTGTGATTAATCTACTTCCTATTCCTGAATGTTCTTTTATCCAATTGAAGATTTTTATGGGCTGTGGCAGAAGAGAAATACCTGCTTCTTCCTAAGAAAAATGACATTTCTAACCACCACCCCTGTTACCCCCTCAAAAAAACAAGAACTCTGGTGGTTAATGTTTCTCACTTGTAATCTCATATATCTTTAAACACTGTAGGAGATACCTTGTGTTGTATGCTTTGTTATGCTGAAGTGTGGACGCTGTCATGGAAGTTTCTGCTTTGGGAATATTTTCAAAGTTCTCTTGACTGCAAGATGGAAGGTGGGCTGTAGGGAGGAGTGGTTTGTGTTGGCACCGGACATCCTCTGATAGGAGAGCTGCCTGACCTCAGTACTCTTGATGCTTTGCTGGCTGCAAAGCTAGTAAGAGTTCTGTTGTTTCACTAACAGACAGCTAATAAACAGATAGTTCGTTGGCCAGGTAACCAGTAAGTATGTTCTTATTTATTTTCTGGTTACTGATACCATTAATTAGGTACCAGCTTTTTTCATGTTTATTATTTATCTTGTGTTTATAAGGAGAATTGCCTTAATATATTTATTACATATACTGGGTATATGTACAATTGGATGTATTAGTGAATGGGTTAAAAAAGAAGTATAGGAACTGCTTTATGTAGCAAAATACTTCCTAAATGTTTTGGTTTTGCATGTACTTTTTTTTTTTTTTTAAAGATTTTATTTATTCATTTTTTTTCCCCCCAAAGCCCCAGTAGATAGTTGTATGTCATAGGTTCACATCCTTCTAGTTGCTGTACGTGGGTCTCGGCCTCAC